CCAGTAGAAAAGAATTTGGTAAAATCGACTCCGATTAAATATTATTTAATTAATTACATCACTGGAGAGAGAGGGATGGGATATTCCTTTCTCTATAAGTATACTATGAGAAGATTAAGTTAAGAGTCAATGGAAGGTACATTGGCAATACTCAAAAACGCAGAAAGGAGCCCGACCGACAATGTCGAGTTCCTTAAGGGTTAAAATGGAAAATTTATGAAAAATTCTCAAAAATTTCATAAAAATAGAAAAATAGTAAATTAGGGGTTTTTCAGTCATATATGATGTTTTGGGAGTCAAAATAGCCCAAAATAAATTATTACGATATTTCCCAAAAATAGTGATTTTTGAAGAAAATAGTGAAAATTGAGGAAATATAATTATTTTAATTATATAAGGGCATCAATAATTCAAGGAAAAATATGGGCAAGTTCCTTGGGAATATATTTGAATTTATAAAATTTTTCCCAAGCATTGGAAGTGAAGGAAATAATTTATGGAGAATTTACTTCTGAAATCCTACCCATAAAAGCCCGATTTCAGAGAAAATGTGAAATAAATAGTTAAAAGTTATGAAAAATCCCTAAACTTTTCAGATCTTATTTTTAGATTAAATGTGGATTTTTCACAGAAAGAAATGAATTTTTAGAGGCCTCAGGCTATTTTTCCTAATAGAGGCCTAAAGGAGTAAATCAGGTAAAGAATTGTGGTTGGGATTGAACCCAATTAATTCCATTACTTCCCAACTAAATTTGGACATTTAGTTAGCCCATTTTAGTCAGCAAAACTGTGCTCCCCAAGGTCAGATCACATGCTTAATGTGGTGGAACAATTTTGGCCACAAAACCATGAAAATATCTTAAATGGCTTATGAAAGAGGCTTGAAATGCGTGGCTATTTTTCCTTGCCATTTTGACTGAAACTCTTGAGCTATTATGGGCAGGAAAATGCTGATTAAGAGGAGAGAGAGAAGGCAGCACATGTGGGGAATTTCTTAAAGAAGAAACAAAGATCAATGGCTAGGATTAACTTAGAATCAAAGGCTAGGATTTGTCCAAATCCTTTATAAATATCTATACCCCTTATGCTTGCAATGTTTCGGCCATTCATGGGGGAAAGAAAGAGAAAACCAAACAGCAAGGGAGGAGAAGGAGAAGGGAAAAAGAAAAGGATCCCATGCGAATCCAAGTCTCAAATCAAGGTATGTTATGGATTTTGATCTAGTTTCCACTTCCCTTGCTCTTTGTAAGCTTGGTGGTTGGTTTGATTGGATTTTTGGATGGTTAAACCCTAAGCCAAGGTGCTGCACGAAATTGAAAGAATAGGGGAAAGATGAAATAGATGTTAGAAACATGTTTAAAGGCTTGGAAACAACAAGAATTAAGTGGTTCTGTGTTGATTTTGCAAGAAATCCAACTTTCCCTTAATTTGTGATTTTATTCAGGCTTGACTGTTCTGAATGGTTAGGATTGGATTTTGATTATTTTGAGCTTGGAAATGGATTCTACATGCAAAATTATGTGGGAATTGCATGTGAAAATAATTTTAGGAAGATTGGAATTGAAACTCAAAAGTTAGAGTTCAAGTATGTTCAAGAAAGAATCAAGTAGAGATAAGTTGATGACTTGATTCTAATAATTATTTTGCATAATGTATTGATGTGTTTAGGACCTTAGAACATCCAAGAGGATGTTTAATGGTGTTGGCCAAAAATCCATAGGGTTGGAAAGACAAGGGAATCAAAGGAAAAGCAAGAGGAAAGCTATGTTACATGGTAGTGAACTTACCTATATTGTGTGCTTGATATGTATGCTTGCATGGTATGCTTGTGATGCCATAATATGACTAAGCCATAACGAAATGTTTGCAAAGTTAAGTGCAAACTTATGTTATGTTATGCCTTGGCAATATGTTATGAAAGCATGTGATGTTTGGCTTACTTTCTATGGCTCCATATGTTAATTTATGATAACATGTCATGCATTTGCATTATGTCTTGCATGCTTATGGGTAGTATTTGCTACTGAGATTCTCCCGAATCTCACCCTTCCTTAACAACACCTAATAGGTGCTACAAGCTTGAAGGAAAAATCAAGAAGTCGAAGTACAAGATAAAGGAAAGAAACCAAGCATGTCTTATATTTCCATGACATGCTATGTTATGTAACTATTATTAGATTTAATTATAATTAAATATAAAGGAAGAAAAATTTTATTTATGTAATGTTTGTTAAATATAATTTAATTATATTTTGTTTAATTAATTATGATTATAACATTTTATAATTAAAATTATATAAAATTTATTATATAATTAATGTTTAATTATATAATATAATTATATAAATAGATTTTATAAATGCAATCATACGTAGTAAAAATAGTAAAAATACATTTTTATAATATATTATAAAGATATCGTCTATTTTTATATAACATAATTATACCAAACATTTGTAAATTACATTATATAATTCTTTGAAATCATGTTTATAATCAATTATGAAATATTATAATTACACATAAAACCAAATGAAATGTTAATGTTAGTAAAAATGTTTAATTGAGTGATGTTATAATTAATATCATTTCCAAAAGTCATTTCCAGTTACAAATTATTTTTGGGCAGCAAATGAGTATATACAATAAAAGCATGTGAAAGCCTAAATCAATTAAACATTTTTCAATTAAACATTTTAAATTTCCCTTTGACTCAAAAACTCAGATACCAAAAATGTCACACCTTACTTTTATACACCATAGTGCATTATACGAAAGCATCCAGAACCATGTTCGATAGCCTTAAGGTTAGAAAATTACATTTGCAAAAATCTGCTTGTATGGTTACTGTTCACAGCACATTTCGAAAATTGGGGTCAACTTTGTAAAATCATAACTAATTCTAAAAAAATTGAAACGGAGTGATTCTAATTTTCACATAAAGCTCTTTCAATTCTCTACAAGGGAAAAATAACAATATGGACTTAAACATTGCCAATTTGTACAGTTTATTTATCAAAAATTACTGTTCATTTAGTCAAAATAGTTTATTATTTAATAATTAAATAAATATATAATTTATATATTTATTTAATTATAAGTTATTTTTATAATCATAAAAATTTATAGAATTAAATTTCTGTAATTATTTTAGATATAAATTTTATTTTAGATAAATAATTTTATTTATATAATTATTTTATTTATACTCTTATTTGGCTATTTATGTATATATATGTTCATATACGAGTTAAAACATAATTAAACATGGTTATACTCCTATTTGGTTAAATAAATATATAATTATTATACATTATATATTTATGGTTATACTCTTATTTGGTAACAATATAATTGAAATTTGTACCAAACTATACTTATTTATATTTTAAAATCAATTATACTCCAATGAATTAAAACATACTTTCATGGCACAAACTTACACAAAATCACATTTCAAATCCATTGGAACCATTAAAACACATGGAATCAATATATAATTAAACATGTTTATATATAATATAATTACATATATATAATTATAATTATAATTATATATATAATTAAATATATAGAGGAGGGGAATTATATTTGTATATTATTTAATCAATATATATATTATTACAGTTGATGGTAACCTGATCTCAAGTCAATCTTGGAGAACACTGTGGCACCAGCTAGTTGGTCTAGCAAATCGTCTATTCAAGGTAGTGGGTACTTGTTTTTAATCGTCACTTTGTTGAGCTCTTGGTAATCAACGCATAACCTTAGGCTACTGTCCTTCTTACAAACGAACAAGATGGGTGCTCCCTATGGTGATACACTAGGTCGGATAAAATTCTTTTCTAATAACTCCTCTAACTACTTCTTTAATTCTACCACTTCATTTGGAGCCATACGATATGAGGCTTTAGAAATTAGCCCTGCTCCAAGTACCAAGTCAATTGCAAACTCTACTTCTCGCTTCGGGGGTAACCCGCTAATTTCCATCAGAAAGACTTCTGAAAAATTGCATACCACGAGTATCTCTGTTATGCCTTCTTCCACTTCTGCATGTATAGAGAAGAATACCACATACCCTTGACAGCCATGTCTTAGGCAATCCCCAGCTTGGGCTCCCGTGATCAAGTTCAATTTCACCTCGGTACGAGGGGTTAGCTCATGGGGAGGAAAGATCAAAGTTCTATTTTTACAGTCAAGGAGTATACTATGGGTGGACAGCCAATTCAGACCAAGTATCACATCAATTTCATGAAAAGGCATACATATTAGGTTAAGTGTAGTGCAACAGTGGGCATACTGGATAATACAATTCAGGCAAACATCAGACGTATAAATTTTAGTGCCCGTAGGAGTAGCCACACATAGATCATATAATAATGTGTTAACAGCAAGACTTATGTGCCTCGCGCATTCATATGCAATAAAGGAGTGGCTAGCACCCGAGTCAAACATAGCATGCACAAGGTAATTGTTAACTTGAATCGTACCTTGTATCATCTCATGTGACTTATCAGCCTTTTCTCTTGTGAGGGCAAAAACCCTCCCTTGAGCTTGGGGCCTCGAGCTGTCCATATTAAGAGGGCACTCCTTATATAGTGTCCTGGCTTGCCACATTGAAAGCACACATTTTGACCCGTCAAACATGGTCGATCTCTGTGGTTTTTACCATGGATGTTGCATTCCTTGATCTGACGCGTAGTGCTTCTTCCTCCTTGCCTTACTCCTCCTCCTCGCTTAGACTTCTTAGAAAACATAGGCTTTTGCCTCTTCCTATTTCCTCTGGAAGGAGTCCTCTCTGGTCCTCCCCTTATTGCTGGTCCTTCTAATCTAGGAGCAGCCTTAACTAGCGCCTGGAGGTTCAGGCTATTTTCAGTAATCTGGCAGGCTTCCACTACCTGATTGAACTTTTCAAGTTGCCGTGGGGCTACCTTCTCCCTCAGTTCCTGCCTTAGTCCCCTTACCATTTTCTCTGTTTTTCACTGCTCATCATTGTGGAGTTAGAGGTCGTTAGAGTAACGAGAGAGCCTTATGTACCTGTCTAGGTATTCATCGAAGGACTCCCGGGGACCTTGTTGAATCATCAAAATACCACTCGAACCCAGAGCTAGCTGGTTTTCCTCAAAATGCATTGAGGCATAGTAGTTGACTAGACATCTAGGAGTAAAGCGTTGTTTTGGTGTGGGCCACGAGAGCGGTACCAAATCAAGGCAAACTTTGAATACTAGATATGACCTCAAAATAATAGGGGTTACGGTCAGCCAGTGAGACAATGGGGGATAAGCTTCATTGTTGAGAGGGAACTAACCCAGATCACCAGATAAGGCCCCTAAATGTTCGCTTAGTGATAAAGGAGGTAGTGGTGCAGAGACAACCAGGAGGTTTGCCTAGAAGTAGCCACCATTGAAAGAGTATGTAATAGCTCACTGATCGACTGGGAGATTAGATCTAGCCATAAGAAGAATAGAATGCTTGGCTGATAAATACCTCACTTCTTGGTCTTTGACCCCTCAGTCACTACGAATGCCCTTAATCAGTGTAACAGGATATGTCATTTATCTATCTCTTGACTCGAAATGTGAGCAGGTTTGAAAAAGGATCTTAGAGTGTCTAGGATTGGGCCCCATTGGAATCATAATCTTTCAAATTGGAGCCCATATGTACTCTGTTTTGGACTATAGGAGTTCTAAAGTGGCTTATTCATATTCGAGCACAAATGGATGTCTTAAAAGCCCATATATACTTATGGACGTGAATAACATTTATGAAGATCTATTTGAAAGGTCCAAGAAGATTCAAGAAACATCAAGAGTGGTCTCATATGGCATTAATTATGATTCTATTTGTTTTAATTAGTTTTCTATTTAATAGTTTCCTATTTTGTATTAATTGCTTCTTGTAGGCAAAGACTTGCCTATTTTGTCTTTTGCTGATTAGTAGATAGTCAAATAAGATCCTTCTCATTAGTGATGGGATCCTCTTAGGTAATGAGTGATCTAGATTATTCTTTCTTGACTAGCAAGTTAGGGTATTCTAGAAGGTCTTTTGGTTTTCTTATTTTTATTGTATTTTCACATCTATTTTTTATGCATTTTATTTATTTAGTGTTTTAAGCTCCAATAGCTTATAATGGGCTTTTAGCCTTAGATTATCAATTATGGTTTTTATATTAGGTTTTATCAAGAGTCTTAGTTTATAAATATTTCAGTATGTACTCTTTCATACAGAGATTATTTGAATAATTAATAATATGGGAATTTTATTTCTCTTGTGTGAGCCTTGTTTGCATCCTCATATTTTCATGAGAATACTCGACAGTATAAAGGGAGTGATCAACTTTATGGTGTCTTCATGATTAAGATTGTAAGAGACAGGTTCTCTTAAAATCCTGCCTTTAACCCCTCAGAGTACGCATTCATAAGCATTATGGTTCAAGCAGATCATGACACAAGTCCATGGATTTAAAATTTCAACATAATTACTCGGGTTACTATTCACTGTTTAATTTCCAGATTACAGGTCTAACTTTAAAAATTCATAACTAATTTCATAAAAATCGCATTGAGGTGTTCTAAAATTCTATAGAAAGCTATTTTGATGCTCTTTAAGGGAAAAAATATCCAATTGGACTTATCTTTGCTCAATTCCTACAGTTTAATCCATAAATATTACCGTTCGTTTCAAAAATCTGAAACTTCCAGATTCTATGCCTCAACTTTGGAAATTTGTATCTCCTTGTGTACACATCCAATTGAGGTAATCTACCTCTCATTTTAAAGCTTGAGATGTGTAATATCAGTCTGCCAAATCTCGTGATTTAACTCATTCATTTGATAAGTCAGACTGGAGCTACAAGCTCACTGTTCCAGGACCTACGTTTTATCCCTTAACATCTCTTTACTTTAATTCTTTTTATTTCTTTGGCATACATAATATGGGCTTACTCTTTCCCATTCATGCTCATACATTTCAAGACATGCCATAAGTATTATAATTAAATACATGGCATCATTGGCATCCATAACATAAATTACATAATAGGAGAATTACACATTGAATAATAATATCAATCATTAACATGAACAATTCTCCACTTTCTTCTCCTTGCTTCTCATGCCATTATTGCCCATCATTGATTGACCTAAATGGTTAGTTAGGGAGGGGTGAGATTTGGAAGAATCTCAGTAGCAAACAATACCATATTAATCATGCTAGATGAATGCTAATGCACTATATGCAACTTGCTTGTTCTCTTATTAGTTAGTGACATATTAGCATGCTTAAAGCTACCTTCTTGATGCATGGCTATGGAGACATAATCTACTCATCATAAATAGAATTTACAGTAGCCAATACATGTCACAACGACATTCAAACATCATGTACAACAACACATAAGCATACAATATCAAGCGATGATAATAGGTAAGTTCACTACCTTGCACCTCAAGCTTTCCTCTTACTTTTCCTTTGACTCCCTTGACTTTCCAACCATGTGGGCATTTGGTTAATATCACCAAATGTCCTCTTGGGTATTCTAAGATCCTAAACACAGTCACATTGATCACACAATCTATTAGGACCACTAGATTACATAATATTCAAGACTAGCTCTCTTAAACCTCAACTCTTTCTCTTCATTTTAGGGTTTTCTTTCGAGCTTTTCTAACATAAATCTCATCATTTCCCATCCTTAAGATCCATTTCTTGTCAATTCAGGTCACTTTAGATGGCCTTAAATTCAAGAAGATCAAATCTGAAAATTTTGCTTCGCGGGTATTGTTCATGCAGGAATTCCAGAATTTTTGTTTAACTTTGAAAATTCATAATTAATTCTATAAAAATCAAAATTGAGTGGTTCCAAGTCTGACTAAAAGCTCCTTAAGTTATCTTTAAAATAAAAATAGTTTCAGGAACCAATTCTATACTGAATAATACCAGAATTGTACAGAACTCGACACTCTTCCAAAGGTTAAACACTGTTTCCAAATTTCAAACCCTAACTTTGAAAAATCACCATAAATCGTACACATATCCAAATAAAGTTTTCTACCCATGGATTTAAATCTTACAGAGTGTACTTTAATCATGCCAAATTTTAGAATCAGATACAAAGAGTAACTTATTCGAAATAGGCATCAAATCAGATGCTACAACCATCACATACCTTGATGATTTCTTGAACTTAGGTGGACTTTCTCTCACTAGAAATAGCTCTTTCTCTCTCTAATTGCAAGAGCGGCAAAGTTTCCCCTATGGTTCCTTGCTTGGCCGAAATGTGAGGGGAGGGAGTGTGAAAAGACCTCTTCTTAATACATAATTATAAAACTATTTTTAAAATGATAACCATGGTAGAAAAAGAATTGAGTTAGAGTGTTAAAATACTACCATGGTTATAAAGAGTTTGACTTATTTTGAAAACATCCTAAATGGCTCAGGATACATAAGACACCCATGGGTTGAACAACGTAGAACAAAGCCTCAGGGCACAATAACCGCTAACAAGCCCAACATAATATTCATCCCACAAAGATTTAGGGCACAAGAAACATAGGGTGTCTATCCCAGCCCATACGTCATACACAGAAGAGTATCACATACAGCAGAGTCTTATGGCCTTCAGCCATTTTAACATCATTCCATCAAATACAGTCATCCAAACAAAAGAAAGTATATATCAACACAGTTGTGGGCTCTAAGATGGCAATATACATAACATTACATGCCTAAACCAGAAGAGGACTACTAAGCTATGCTCGCCTATGCCTCTGGTTGCTTCCCTTCACGCCGAGCCAAACTAGATGGCTCTCCTGAAAAGTATTGATAAACAGCAGGGTGAGACGTAAAGTCCCAGTAACCAAGTATTAATTTATGACATATACAAGTAGGATGGCAAGTTGGTGAAGTAGTGCTTAAATATAGTTTAAGAAATAAATGGTACTTTAATAGATATAATCACATAAAAAGAGTATATCTCTCCATCCACAACACAATTCATATAAAAGTACATATATGCAACAACACAATGAAATATGCCCTCCCATCACCTTTCTCCTCCTTATGACTCCTTGACAAGGACCCGGGCTTTCTGTGCTGAGTAACCCGGCCAAAGGTCACTTCACTCACATCAAGCAACGGGTCCCCTCCTGTACCTACATCGTCTAAGAATGGACTATGGTGCAAGAGGTGTCTACCCAAGAGTTCATTCTCAATTCCGGGCCAATGAAAAGGAAGAACTACAAGGGTCTAACAATAAGGCCAAACACTGGGATCAATAGTGTAGGCATGCCGCGCAGGCTTCAAGAACAATTATTCTCCACATAACAAAATCCCAACCTCCACATATGACCTCATGCATAGTCACAATATAAATCAAAATATCATAATCTTCAAAGTAAGATGATATAGTTTCAAACAAAGTATAACACATTTTCATCATTTTTTTTAATAACAAAATATTAGTATATTAAATTCAGCACCACAAGAAAACAAAATTTACAATAAAGCACAACTCAAGCATACTTCAATCAACATACTTCCCACTTCACCAAAATTTGTCATATAAGAAAATGTACACTTTATTCACAGGCATAATTTCACAAATTAACTTGAGAAAATAAAAACATAATAAACACCTTACAATCCAAAGCATGTACATAAAATAAATTAACCCCGGTTACCTCTACTCCAAGCTTAACCTCATAGCTTGAGAAATAAGAGCACAAATTACGAACTCCGAAGTACAAGATAACTACAAATAATATAGATACAATTTAATATACATACAAATAATTAAATTAAATTACATAGAATTTATAATATCTATACATATATTTACTATCCAAAAATTCTTACTTCAAATAACAATTTTTCTCTACCCAAATAACTCATTTAAATTATAATTATTTATAAAATATTGTTTTTATCTAATATTGTAAGACTCTCAATTTATAACTTAAGTTTCTAGTTTCAAAATTTTTCTAATAATATAGTCTTAACCTATTTTACATTTTAAACCGATTAAAATATCAATAATATATTAAGTAACCCAAGTAAGTTATTTAACTTAAATTTAATCGGTAAAAACATTCTATATATCTTGAATGATACATTTTCCAACCAAAATCTTAGTTTAAAATTCTCAAAACAATCAATAAACAACTATAAACCGATTAAAATTTCAATAATATATCAAACAACCCAAATAAATTATTTAACTTAATTTTAATCGGTATAAATATGATATATATCATAAGTGACAGATTTTTCAACAAAATAAATTTGATTTTAAATACCATAGGTAATAAATGGACAAATCTAAACTGATTAAAATTTCTTAATAATAAATCTTTAAATTCCTACGGTCAAATATTTTTGAAACTCAATA